GGAGTGGCTGGTGGGTTTGAATTGCCATCCTTCTGGGTAGCAATCAAATGCTTTAGGCACTATGTCACCAGAGCTCCTTTAGATGCATGTACACACACACACACACACACACACACACACATATATATACAGTGGTAGCCTCTGGTCTCATAATCATATAGGCTGAGGATTGCATGGTGTACCAGTTGTGAGGACTAATTGTTTCCATGAATATTTGGTTTTCTTTATTTTTCTTTGCTCTGGACAAGAAGAGACCCATCATTGCATCTAGATGGCTGTTTGCAAGCTTTTAAGATCCCAGTCACTACTCGCCATAGTAGGAGGTTGAACAATGTTTTGTGCAGTATGTTATGCCAATTGAGCTTGATGTCCCCTGTGACTATGATCCTAAGCCCACAGGTTCAACTACTCAGTCCCTCGGGGTAGCTGGCTGTGACCAAGAAGTGACTACAACCTTGTCCCTTGTCAGCTCTACTATACCCCTGGAAATTCTTACAGAACACACAAATACACTTGTAGAACCATTGTCCGCCAACCCTATATGTGGTCTTGGGTACACTCCCTGCTAGAACAGTGTTTTTGTGTGCTATGCAATCCCAGTTGAGCTTGATGTCCTCCATGGCTATGGTCCTGAGCCTACAGGTTCAACTACTCAGTTCCTCTGGGTAGCTGGCTGTGACCAAGAAGTGACTACAACCTTGTCCCTTGTCAGCTCTACTATACCCCTGGAAATTCTTACAGAACACACAAATACACTTGTAGAACCATTGTCCGCCAACCCTATATGTGGTCTTGGGTACACTCCCTGCTAGAACAGTGTTTTTGTGTGCTATGCAATCCCAGTTGAGCTTGATGTCCTCCATGGCTATGGTCCTGAGCCTGCAGGCCCAGTGATTCACACCCACAAGGTATTAGGTTGTGGCTAAGAAGTCATCATAAATTTGCCCCTGTTAACTCTAGTTTTCCACTCAGCAGTTCATGTACATTTTGTTTTGTGACATTACTTGCAATCCCCACAATATACCTGTTCTCTTACCACTTCCTCCCTGTGGTTACCTTTACCTGTGTCCTTTTTTTCCTATGCATTCCTGCCCTCTGAGCCTTCTCCCTGTATAAATGAGGCCCTTCTGATCTCCATGGCTAGTTGTTCTAAGGAGTGCACCTGGAACAAATTTGTCCTGGAAAAAGTACAGCCAGAATGCTCCTTGGAAGTGAGAATGGCCAGGCTTCTAACCAACTTTGGTCATGTTGTCCGAGGGACTATTCCCTGGAGAAGGATATCATGCTTGATAGAGTTGAGGGTCAGTGAAAGGGGGAAGATTTTCAATGAGATGGATTGACACAGTGGCTGCACTGATGTGCTAAACCATAGCAAGGATTGTGAGGATTGCGAAGGTCTGGGCAGTGTTTTGTTCTGTTGTACATGGAGTTGCTATGAGCCAGAGCTAGCTCAATGGCATTTAACAACAGCAACATATATTTTAGAAATATGCCCCTTGTTGGATATATCATTGTAAAATATTTTTCTCCAATCTGTAGGTTCTTTTTACTGTTTTGGAGAAGTATTCTGATGCACATAAGAATTTAAGTTTTAGAAGGTCCTAGTTATCTAGTTTATCTTCTGCTGTTTGTACATTTTTGGTTATGTTTGATAGTCTATTATTTTATCTTTTGTAATTTTTGTAGTTTTCAGTTTTACATTTAGATCTTTGATCCATCTTGAGTTAGTTTTTGTGTATGGTGTAAGTTATCTATCTCGTTTAATTTTTCTGCAAATGGATATCCAATTTTGCAAGCACAATTTGCTTGGTCATTAAAGAGACTGTCATTTCCCTATTTAATGGGTTTCAGTCCTTTTTCAAAAGTCAGATGACCATAGGTGGATGGATCAGTTTCTGGGTTCTCAATTCTCTTTCATTCATCTCTGTGTCTGTTGTTGTACCAATATCAGGTTATGTTGACTACCACGGCTGTATAGTAGGTTTTGAGTTCAGGGAATGTGAGACTTCCTACTTTGTTCTTCTTCGTTAGTGTTTTCCTAATCCAAGGCCTCTATCCTTTCCATATTATATTGGTGATTTATTTTTCCATGTCCTTAAAGAATTTTGATGGAATCTGCATTGAGATTGCATTGAATGTATAGATTGCTTTGGGTAGTATTTACATTTTCAGTCAGTATTGACAAGGTTCAGTCTTCCTGTCTATGAGCATAGTATGTTCTTCCAGTTATATAGGTCTCTTATACTTTCTATTGGGAGCTCTGGTGGCATAGTGCCTAAGAGATTTGACTGCTAACCAGAAGGCTGGCAGTTCAAACCCACCAGCCACTCCTCAGGAGGAAGATTGAGCAATCTACTTCCATAGTGATACTGCCTTGGAAACCCAAGGAGGGGTCGCTATGAGTCAGATCCGGCTCAATGGCAGTGAGTTTGGTTTTTGGATTTATACTTTCTTTTAGTAGTGTTTTGTAGTTTTCTTTGTATCGGTGTTTTGTGTCTCTGGTAAGATTTATTCCTGAGTATTTTGTCATTTTTGTAGCTATTGTAAATGATATTATTTACCTTATTTCCTTTTCAGAGCTCTCTTTGTTGATGTAGAGTAATCTCCAGATTTTTGCACATTTTGTCATAATACTTTGTCTTCTCAAGCCACCCTTCAAACTCTTCTGTTCAGCTGTTTTTACTTCATCATTTCTTGCAATCACTTTAGTTACTCTCTGTTCAGGAGCAAGTTTCAGAGTCTCTTCTGACATCCAATTTGGTCTTTCCTTCCTTTCCTGTCTCTCTAATGACCTTTTACTTTTCTCATGTATGATGTCGTTGATGTCATCCAATAACTCATCCGACTCATCTGATCTTTGATAGTTGGTGTTAAATGGGTCAAACCTAATTTTCAGATGGTTCCTAAATTCAGGCAGTATATGCTTAAGGTTATATTTTGGCTCCCATGGATTTGGCTTAATTTTCTTCAGCTTCAATTTAAACTTGCATAGGAGCAGTTTATGCTCTATTCCAGAGTTGGCCTCTGTCCTTGTTCTGACTGATGATATTGAGCTTCTCCATTGTCTTTCCACAAATGTAGTTGATTTGATTCCTGTGTATTCCATCTGGCAAGGTCCACATGTATAGTCACAATTTATGTTGCTAAAAAAAGGCATTTGCAATCAGTAAGTCATAGGTCTTGCAAAATTCTGTCTTGCATCATTTCTATCACCAAGTCCATATTTTCCAACTACCAATGCTGCTTTTCTGTTTACAACTTTCACGTTTGAATCACCAGTAATTATAAATAGATCTTGATTGCATGTTTGGTCAATTTCAGACTGCAGAAGTTGGTAAAAGTCTTTAATTTCTTGATTTTTGGCTTTAGTGGTTGGTGTGTAAATTTGAGTAATAGTTATATTAACTGGTCTTCTTTGTGTGTATAGATAGTATCTTATCACTAATAGCATTGTACTTCGGAGTAGATCTTGAAATGTTCTTGGCAGTGAATGTGATGCTATTCCTCTTCAATTTGTCATTCCTGGCATAGTAGACCGTATGATTGTTTGAATCAAAATGTCCATTAGCAGTCCATTTCTGCTTACTAATACCTAGGATATGTGTTCCATTTCATCTTTGACAACTTCTAATTTTCCTAGATTCATACTTTATATAGTCCATGTTCTAATTATCAATGGATGTTTACAGCTATTTTTTTTTTCTCATTTTGAGTCATGCCACATCAGCAAGTGAAAGTCTCAAAAGCTTTACCCCATCCATGTCATTAAGATTGACTCTCCCTTAAGGAGGCAGCACTTCTCCCATAGTATTATGAGTGCTTTACAACCTGAAGGGCTCATCTTCTAGCACTGTATCAGACAGTGTTTCCCTGCTATTCATAAGGTTTTCATTGGCCAGTTTTTTCCAAAGTACATCTGGCCACATCCTTCTTCCTCCTCCTTCCTAGTCTGTCTTAGTCTGGAAGCTTCACTGAAACCTGTTTACCATGGGTGACTCTGCTGGTATTTGAAATATTGGTAGCATAACTTCCAGTAACACACAAGCCACCACAGTATGACAAACTAACAGGTGATATATATTTCAGAAGACAAAAAACATAGCGATCAAGGCCATAGAAACTCTGCAATGTGGTGTTTACTTGATTCACCATAGTACGTATTGGTTTTTACACTCCAATCAATCTATTGGACTTGAAGCCATTTTTCTGTCCATACTGTTTAATATAACAACAATATGTCTCTTGTGTGTGTGTTTCCAATGAGGAGTAGCTGCAAATTGTAGGCATTACATTCTTCTTACCCAAATGTTGTCTTCTTTACAGGTATAAGCTGGAACCCTTACCAGTCATAGGCTCTACTGCCTTGGTATCAAACATTATGGAGAAACCACTCTTCCTGGAGATACCTGCCATCTCCAAAACACCCACTACTGAGCAGGCATCTCTTTTCAAAAAGTCATTCATTTTAGGAGTGGATCCAACTACTGAGGAGACAACCCTCATCAAGAGGCCATTGTCTTTAAAAAAGTGCACAAATCACGGGGAGATGTCCCTCTTGAGAAATTCATTATCTTTGCATAAGGTGACTGACAAAGAAGATGAGGTTGTTATGGCACCAATTACTTTAAGGAAAAAGCATGAAACTGAAGAGGCAGCCACCACCAACAAGACATTATCTTTAAAGAAGAAGATATACACACATCAAAGGAAGCAGTCTTTCTGGAAGGAGTTGTTGACCTTGCCTGAGAAGATCAATGTTGTAGAGGATTCTTTCTTTATGGAGCCAGTGAACTTTAGGAAGAAACCTAAAACTGAGGAGGCAACTCCCTCCAAGAAGCTGTTACCATTAAAAAAGAAGAAGCATACCACTCAGGGGAAGACGTCTTGCTTGAAGAAGCCACTAGTTTTACAGAAGATCACCTATGAAGAGAAGTCACTCATTAAGGAGCCATTGTCCTTTAAGGAAAAGCCTGCCACTGAGGAGGAGTCCCTTTTCCAGAATTCATCTTCCTTAGAAGAGAAGCACACCACTCAGGGGGAAGGGTCCATCTTGAAGAAGCCACTGGCATTCCAGGAGAATATTGGTAATAAAGATAGCTTTTTTAAGGTACCAGTTTCTATTAGAAAAAGTCATGGCACCAAAGAGACAACTCCCATCAAGAAGCCATTATCTTTAAAGAGGTGTACCAGCTGTGGAAAAATGTCCTGCTTGAAAACACCATCAACATTGCAGAAGACTGCCTTTGAAGATAAATCATTCATTAAGAAGCCATTATCCATTAAGAAAAATCATACCACTGAGGAAGCGTCTCTCTTTCAGAATCTATCAGCATTACATGAGAAGCACACCACTCTGGGAGACTTATCCATCTTGAAGAAGTCCTTGGCCTTGCGAAACACTCCCATTGAGGAGTCACTTTTAAAGGATTCTTTGGCTTTTAAGAAGAAGTGTACCATTGAGGCAACTACCTTCACTGTGAAGCCATTATCTTTAGGAAAGAAATGCACTATTCAGGGGAAGATATCCCACTTGAAGAAACCACTGTTATTGCAGAAGACTGTCTCTGAAATAAATTCAGTCATTGAGGAGCCATTGTTCTTTAAGAAAAAGCCTACCATTGAGGAATCCCTTTTCTTGAAGCCTTGGGCATCCCAGGAAAGTGTCGGTGAAAATGATTTTGTTATGGAGCCAATTTCCTTTAGGAAGAAGCATATTACCAAGGGCTCAACCTCCACCAAGAAGCTGTTGTCATTAAAAAAGAAGAAGTGTACGATTCAGGGGAAGATATCTGTCTGTCGAGTGCTGTTGGACTTTCAAGGTATGTATGGCAAAGAAAAGGAATCCTTCTTTATGGAGCCAATGTCATTTAGGAAGAAGCTCACAAGTGAGGAGGCAGCTATCACCAAGACACTGTTACCTCTAAAGAAAAAGCAAATCATTCAGGGAAAGATGTCCTTAAGGAAGCCACTTGTGTTTCAGAAGACTGTCTGTGAAGAGGAGTTGCTTTTAGAGAAGCTCTTTAAGCAAAAGCCTACAACTGAGGAGGAATCCCTCTTCCAGGATTCCTCTGGATTGCAAGAGAAGCGCACCTTTCTGGAGGAGATGTCCCTCTCACAGAAACAATTAGCCTTGCAGGAGAAAACCACCAGTGAAGAAAAAGCATATAGTAAGGAACCACTGGCCTTGAAGGAGAAACTAACCACTGAGAAGGAATTCCTCTTTCAGGAGCCATTTTCATTACATGAGAAACCTAGCAACAAATACGAGTACCTCTTCCAGAAGGTTTTGTTCTTGCTGGAGAAGACTTATATCAAAGAAAAGTCATTGAAGAACCTGTTGACCTTGAAAGAGGAGTTCCTAATTAAGGAGCCATTGACTTTTAAGGAAAAACCCATCATGGTGGAGGAATTACTCTTCCAGAAACCATTATCATTGCAGAACAATTCTACAAACAAAGAAGACTCACTCTTCCAGCAACCACTGACTTTGCGTGAGAAGACTTACACCAAGGAGGAATATTTTTTGAAGAAGCTGATGGCCTTGCAGGACAAAACCACCATTGAAGAAAAGTCCCTTTTTAAGAAGCCACTGAACATCAAGAAGAAGCCTTCTATTGAAATGGCAACAATCAGAGAGAGGCAATTATTTTTAAAGAAGAAGCCTACTGCTCAGGGGGAAGTTTTTCTCTTAAATAATTGGTTGGTTTTGCAGGAGAATATCAGCAGTGAAGAAAAGTCACTTCCTAAGCAGCCAAAGCCCTTTCAGGAGATCAGTATTGAGAAAGAGGCCCTCTTCAAGGACACTTTGATCCTGCAGGATAATTCCAGTATTAAGGAGGCAATCCTCAAGGAACCCCTGGCCTTGCAGGAGAAGCCAACCTTTAAGAAGGAAGCCCTACTCAAAGAGCCCACTATCGATACAGAGGCTTACTTCAAGGAACCCCTGGCCTTCCAGGAGAAGTATAGCATTGAAAAGGAAACCCTCCTCAAGGAGCCCACTGTAGACAGAGAGACTTACTTCAAAGAGCCCTTGACCTTGCAGGAGAAGCGCAACACTGAGAAGGAGGCCCTCCTCAAGGAGCCCTTGGATTTGCAGGAGAAGCCCAACATTGAGAATGAGTCGCTCTTCAAGGAGTCTTTGGCCTTGCAGGAGAAGCCTACTATCAATGAGGCATTCTCTTCCAAGGACTTACTAGCTTTGAGTGAAAAACCCACTACTGGGGAATTTTTCTCCAAGGAGCCTTTGTTCTTGCAAGACAGTCGTACCACCAAGGAACACATCTTTCTCAAAGCACTCTTGATCTCCCAAGATGAGATAAACCCACATCTGTCCAGCACTACCACTGAATCCAGAACAGGCAAGACCAGCATTGCCACCATGTCCAGTGTGTGCAAGTCCAGTACTCCTGGCAAGTCTAGTGTATGTGAATACAGTTCCAATAAATCATTCTCACCTCAGGGCAAGAGGACACAGAAAGAGGTATTATTTTTCTTTACTTTAAATTAGGTGAAGTATTCTTTGTTATTCTAGAGGTAGATGCTAGCAAAGAGTTTCTCTCTCTCTCTCTCTCTCTCTTTCTCTCTCTCTCTCTCTCTAAAGCAACTGAACTGTATAAAATAAAAGTGTCTATACCCAGTAATAGGATGGTATTTCTTGGGTTTACTTATGGTTCTATCTAATGTTAGAAAAGACAGAATCATCTTTTCCCACCTTTTGCAACCTGAGGTTTTACCCATGATATGGGATACATTTACCAGGCTCTTCGGCATTCTTCTTTTAAATTAAGTTGGTTTGAAAGAAGCTCTTTCCTCCCTGACTGGCGTAGTGGCTACTCCAAGAATATCCACAGGGTCTGGAATATTACACTATGTAATTATCTATCTATCTATAAATGGCTTTGTAGTAGTTGTTAGGGAATTTCATTCAGGAAATTGCCTTACTAATAAGCAATCTTCATCACAGTGGGGTTCAGTCAAAGGTGGGTAAAGTGCAAAGAGGTATCTCTCCAGGAAGGGAGTTTTTAAGTTGTAAATTAGAAAAATGAAGGGATGAGATTTGGCACCCAAAAGGAGAAATACTCTTCTGGTAGGCAAAACAGTCTAGGCAAAGGGAGGGAGGAGAAAGCTACCAAGAAGATTAATTGGGCCGAGTCAAAGCATTGGGACATAAGGAGGACCAAAGAAGACAGATGACATAAAGTGAAATAGTAACATAAAAATGTTTTTCTTGGAGAGTCTTAAGCTTCCTGTTAAAAGAGTACTGGTTCTTAGGGCAGAGCAGGCATGTACAAGGAGAGGAGGACTAGTTTATTCCTTGGTCAGTGGACAATATGAGGATTGCAGGGCAAAGGGATGCTCTATTATGACTCAGAATATATGAGGTTGGAAGGACCTTAGCGGAAGATGATAGTAGGGAGAAAGATGTCATCTTTGATGTGCATGAGCTAAGTCTTCCTTGGAATCTTTCTCCTCCTAATATGTATTTTTGGTATGATTTCTGAGCAGATGACCTCACTAGAGGATATTGACAAGGACAACAGTGATCCATTTTTCAACTCAATATATGCCAAGGATATCTTCAGTTACATGAAGGAGAGAGAGGTATGTAAGTGACTTGGAGGGCCAGTGCTTTCAAGTTCTCATCTCCTCATCACTATCTTCTTCAGCATGTAAGTTGAACAAGGAAGTAATAATAATGATAAAAACAGCTAACATCTACTGGTAACTAACTGTGAATTGGACATTGTGTTAAGGGATTTATAGACATTATTGTGTTTAATTCTCCCAAAAACTTCACGATGGTAAATATTCTTCTTAACTCCCTTCTACAGATAGGAAAATCTACCCAAAGTCACACAACTAGTATGTGGCAGATTTGGGATTTAGACTAAAGTCTGATTACTTTGAAGACCTAGAGATTGCACCCCTAATTATTGAGGAAACAATATCTGACACACTCAAAAAAAATGGTCAAGTGGTCTTTTTCTAAGTGGCTGTTCTCCAAAACCTTATTTTCCCTTTTCAATGGAAGTTCCTAGCATCATATGTAAAATCATACTCTTTGTTTCAACTCTCAAACCTGGTGAAGTTTTCTTTCTCCTTTGAAATCTGCCAGTCCCCTTTACCAGTAGTATGAATCAATTCCAAATTTTCTTCTGTCTCTTTGAATGGTCTATCTACCAATCAGAATTTTAGCAAGCCATGTATGTAAGAAGAGAGGGTGAATATCTAGTCTTCTCTTTAGAGAGATAACAATTGCTTGTCTGACTCCAGAGCCCATGCTTTTTCTAGTAAGAGACACTTTGCCATTCTAAAAGTGTGGAGATTGGCTCAGGAGTATGGGTTTCATTTGAAATCTTGTTAGAAATGTAGAAACTTAGCTCCATCCTAAATCTTTTACAATAGAATCTGCATTCTTACAGGGTCCCTAAGTGATGCTTATACATGTAAAAATTTTGAAAGGCCCTTCTCTGCAAAGCATAATACTGTATTTAGATTGCATTGCAAAGAGAGGGAAAAACCTTTTTGGTATTCATATATAAAAAAACCAAACTCACTGCCGGCCAGTCGGATCTGACTCAATGGTGACTCCTCCTTAGGTATCACTACGGAAGTAGATTACCTAATCTTCTTTCTGAGAAATAGCTGGTGGGTTTGAATCACCAGCCTTCTGGTTAGCAGTCTGGTTAGCGTAGCCTTAAGCACTACACCACCAGAGCTCCTTATTCATGTATAGCCATAGGCATATTCCTGTAAATATTCCTTCTAGACTTCTCAATATTCACCCTAGTACTTAAATACCATGTATTTCCCAAGGATAATGGAACATGTCTGGATAAAAGAATACTTTGATCTTGCCCCTGTCTGACAACAGCTGAAAATAATCAGTTAGCATCATGAAGGACAAGTTAATTATGTTAAGTTACAGTTGTCAAACTCCAAGAAGTTTTTGTCATTAACATTCCTTTCTCATTGCTGCCAGGAAAAGTTCATACTTAAAAAATACATGAACAGACAAACTGACATCAACAGTGACATGAGGGCCATTCTTGTGGACTGGTTGGTGGAGGTACAGGTAAGCCTGATAACTGGTGCCTTAAGGAATTGGAATTCTTTTTACCAGTTTTTCATTCACCACCTTCTGTTGCAAAGATGGTTGACAATGCTTGGTTTACAGGGCTGAATAAACAGTGATTTCTGGCTTCAAGGTTTATAATCTAAGGAGCAAGATTTTTATACATTTAATTTTTATATTTTTCAATAATCTGATAGTAAACTTGATAATTTTTGGTATACATTTCTGTGCCTTTTTTAAATTTTGATTTGGGTGACATTTCTGTGATTTTTAAAAACGTATTTGTTTTGTAACAATAGATACACAAGAAACTGCAAAAGGTAGTGAGGAGAAGTCTTGTGTGTCCTTCACCCAGTTTCCCCAATGGTAACATCTTGCATGACTATACTATACTATCAGTAAATTTACAGTAGTATAATTTGCAGACCTTATTTAGATTTCATCAGTTTTACATGCATTCATTTGTGTGGTTATGTGTATATTTGTTGTCTTTAGGTTTCATCAAATTGGTTCCGACACATACTAACCTTAAACTCAACAGAATGAAACACTGCCCAGTCCTGCACCATCCTCTCAGTCATTGCTGTGCTTGATCCCGTTGTTGCTGCCATTGTGTCAATCCATCTCCTTTAGGGTCTTCCTCTTTTTCACTGACCCTCTACTTGACCAAGCATGTTATCCTTCTCTAAGGTCTGGTCCAGCCTGACAGCATGGCCAAAGGCAGGTGGTGAAGTCTCACTGTCCTCACTTCTAAGGAGCATTCTGGCTGTACTTCTTCCAAGAAAAGAAAAGAAAGAAAAGTTGTTTGTTCTTTTAGCAGTTCATGGTGTATTCAATATTCTTTGCCAACACCATAATTCAAAGGCATCGATTCTTCAGTCTTCCATAATAATCATTGTCCAACTTTTGCATGCATATGAGGGGATTGAAAATACAATGGCCTGGGTTAGGTACTCCTTAGTCTTCAAAGTAACATCTTTGGTCTTTAACACTTTAAAGAGGTCTTTTGTGGCAGATTTGCCCAATGCAATATGCTATTTGATTTACTGACTGCTGCTTCCATGGTTGTTGATTGTGGATCCAAGTAAAATGAAATCCTTGACAACTTTAATCTTTTCTCTGCTTACCATGTTGTTACTTTTGGTCTAGTTTTCATGATTTTTGTTTTTATGTTGAGGTGTAATGTATACTGAAGTCTGTAGTCTCTGACCTTCATCAGTAAATGCTTCAAGTCCTCTTCACTTTCAGCAAGCAAGGTTTGTGTCATCAACATGTTGCAGGTATTAACATGAGTCTTCTTCTAATCCTGATGCCACCTTCTTTTATAGTCCAGCTTCTTGGGTTATTTGCTCAGCATACTCATCTGTCAGTTTATCATACTGTGGTAGCTTGTATGTGGTTGTGAAGCTGGAGGCTATGCCACCAATATTTCAAATACTAGTAAGGACACCCATGGTGGACAGGTTTCAGCAGAGCTTCCAGACTAAGACAGACTTGGAAGAAGGAATGGGCCATCCATTTCTCAAAATATTGGCCAATGAAAACCTTATTTATAGTAGTGAAACACTGTCTGATATGTTACTGGAAAACTTTATGAATAACCCTGAAACATTGTCTGATACATTGCTGGCAGATGAGCCCCTTAGGTTGGGCCTTATGTTGGAAGGCACTCAAAATATAACTGGGGAAGAGCTGCCTCCTCAAAGTAGAGTCAACCTTAATGATGTGGACAGAGTAAAGCTTTCAAGACTTCCATTTGCTGATGTGGCACAACTGAAAATGGGAAGAAATAGCTGCAAAATATCCACTAAAAATTGGAAAATGGAATGTACAAAGTATGAATGTAGGAAAATTGGAACTTATCAAAAAGGAAATGTAATGAATAAAAATCAATATCCTAGACATTAGTAAGCGGAAATGGACTGGTTTTGGCCATTTTGAATCAGACAACCATATGATCTATTATGACAGGAATGGCATATTGAAGAAGGTGGCATAGCATTCATCATCACAAAAAATGTTTCAAGATATATACTGAGGTGCAGTGCTGCCAGTGATAGGTTAATATCCATATGTCTACGAGGAAGACTAGTTAATAATACTGTTACTCAAATTTATGCACCAACCACCAAAACCAAAGATGAGGAAATTACAGATTTATACCAACTTCTTTAGTCTGAAATTGGCCAAATGTGCAATCAAGATGTGTTGATCATTACTGGTGATTGGAATGTAAAAGTTGGAAAGAAAGAAGAATCACCAGTAGTTGGAAACTATGGCAGAGATCACATGAGGCAACTTTGCAAAACCAACGATTTACTCATCGTAAATACCTTTTTTCAACAACATAAACAGTGGCTATACATGTGGTCTTCACCAGATCACCAGATGGAATACACAGGAATTAGATGGACTACATCTGTGGACAGAAGTAATGGAGAAGCTCAGTATCTTCAGCCAAAACAAGGTCAGGAGCTGAGTGTGGAACAGATCACAGTTACTCATATGCAAGTTCAAGTTGAAGCTGAAGATAATTAAAACAAGCCCATGAGAGCCAAAATATGATCTTCATTACATCCCACATGAATGTAGAGACCATCTAAGGATTAGATTTGACACGTTGAACATCAGTGATTGAAAACCAAACAAATTGCAGGATGACGAAAAGAATATCATCCATGAAGACAGCAGAAGATGATTAAAAAGACAGAAAAGGAAGAAAAGAGCGAAGTGGATGTCACAAGAGATTCTGAAATTTGCTTTTGAACGGACAGTAGCTAAAGCAAATGGAAGAAGTGAAAAGATAAAAGACCTGAACAGAAGATTTTAAAGAGCAGCTTAAGAAGACAAAGTTAGTTATTATAATGAAATGTGCAAAGACCTGGAGTTAGAAAACCAAAAGGGAAGAACATACATGGCATTTCTCTAGCTGAAAGTACTGAAGAAAAAATTCAAGCCTCGAGTTGCAATATTGAAGGATTAATGGGCAAAATATTGAATGAAGCAAGAAGC